GTGAAAACCCCCCCCAAAAGTGAACCGGACCGAGCCGTACCATGCAGTGGAAAAGCGCCATAAGCGCTGCGCAGCTCAAACGAGTAGCGCGGTTTTGTTATGCTTTCAGTTTCATTTGCCGTTTGATGTTTCTCATATGCAACAGAAATGGCAGCGCTTATGAGTTCACCAACGCGGTGGTTGCGCCAGTGCGACAGCACACACAAATTTAGTCGCACAGGCAGAAAAAATGGTCGCAGTCTGGAGCCCAGCTATATCATCTGAAGCCATTCCATATCTTAATGTGAGGGACAGAATTTAGGTTTACAGAAACTCATCTTCCTTCTGCTGCAGCTGTCAGTCATTCTCCGCTCGTGTGTGACACTAGAGGTTTCTCCAGCTCTGATGAGTTAAAGTGAAGAGTGTTCCTACAAACTCAACATAACATCACATTTTTCCCAAATAAGTTACCAGCTGGGGACCCAGAGCTGATCTGACCACTGTTCACAAGCGCCCGAGGTAGCCCAACTTGTCAGCTGTTCCTAATTTCTGCAATGCAGCAACCCATTCAACACGTCTGCGTGAACGCGATCATGAGCGCGGCTCACTTTCTGGCAAAGAGCGCTCCTACAGCGCCACACTGCGCGTGCGCACAACAACGGCCCACTATCTGGCAGGATGCGGGAAGTGTAGACGGCACATGCGCCCTAAGATCCTTCCATCCACAATCAATGCGGGATCAGTATTTAGCAAGTCCTGTGTCACTGATACCCAGGCCTCTGCCCAAAAACAACTTGCAAGCATTTACAACAATACTCGAGTACTGCAGTCAATGTGACAGGCCACCTTAACCTAAAACAAATCTTTCAAAAGCATACCGTGCGTTTAACATATGTCCGTAAAAAACACACTTAGTGAAAAGAAATAAAGTAAACACAACACACTGAAGCAGGTGGAAGAGCAAGTCTGCTCATTTATAACGTGACAGTTGTCATAAAAATCACTAATTTGATTACAAACTCTCAGTCATTCGTAGGTTAAAATGTTCCACTATCAATACACAGAAATGCTTTGCTAAAAATCACGTTGCATAGCTGTAATATAAGAGTCACAAAGTAATAAGGCTGGCAAGCGCAACAAGAGGCTAAGCTAGTTAGCACCATAACAGCAGCCTGAAACAAGCTCAAATATAACCGACACAGATCCTCTAAACGCGCTGTTTTCACTCTTACGAGGCTAATTGAAAGCTAAAACCGAGATACGTGACTTCTCCTGGTGTGTTGTGGTGTGTTTGAGTTTATACACTTACCTTTTTTTGAAGGTAAGTTGTTTTACCGTATCGGATATTTTTCTATGGAGCGGCTTCACGTCCGGGTTATCTGAATGACGGAGGACGGGAGTGCGCGCTGTGCAATAGCTGTCACGCCAGTGTAAATATCAGTTTAATATCATAATTACTATTTTAAAGCACATATTCATATACTTCTGATTTCATGTTATTTCCCCTGTCATCTGTGGGTTTCAGTAAAATGTATGAGAGAAATATAAATAGCAGAAATGTTCTTTTTATATCAAAGTGTGCTCTGTTTTATTATATAAGCAATAACTACTAACACCCTATTTTATTATAATTTTTTTCTTACTATTTATCTGTCACTTTTTGTTTGCTTTGGCATTGCTGCATGCAAAAAAAATGATGACGATAAAGTATTTTTCAACTGAGTTGAATTTAATGGAAATTTGGTCTACTCCAATAACTGCTGTAGTTGATCACTCTTTTTCCTTAAGTTATTATTATTATTATTATTATTATTATTATAGTTAACAATAGTTTTATCTATTGTTAACTGTGATGTTTGGGTGAATGTCAGATTTTCTCGTAATGTCTTTCAGGCAGCGTTCTGAAAAGCTTATGATGGATAAGATTTATTGTTAGTGCTTGATTGCATGCGATAATTCACAAATGAATAAACAAGCAATTTCTCTCTCTCTCTCTCTCTCTCTCTCTCTCTCTCTCTTCTTTCACTTCATTTTATCATTCTTTATATAACACCCATTGTGTCATTCTGTGAAGGTCAGTGTGAGAGTGGGTAGGTGGCAACGGGTTGTGTGTTTTCCCCTAATCCATGAGGTTATAGGAGTGTTTTTGGATGCATGTGTTCCTCTTCCAGTTCAGGCTCTGAAGGGAGACATGAATCAGCACCAGCAGATGTTCATGAAAAAATGACTCTGTAAAAAAATCAAATAAAGATGAAAAAGAGTTGGAAGGAAGAAAAAAGGGAATAATATTTAAAAACTCAAGGGAAAGAGAAAAATATGCTCAGCCTCACAAACCATGAATGTCACTGTTTGAAACCTAAACGGATGGCTTAAACTCACTGTTTGCCATAGAAGTTTTGTAAATGTGCCTGCCTATATCATAAAATAAAAACATAAAACTTTTCATTATTGTTCTTTTATTCCAATAATAATTTTATCTTTTCAGTTTTATGTGTTTGTTAGTTATTTTTTCTTCATGGCTATGTAAAGCTCTGTGAATTATTGCATGAACTGTGCGATATTAATAAACTTGCCTTGCCTGTGTTAATTTAGCAATATTTTACTCAAACGATCTGTTTTTGATGGTGGAGCAAAAATAAACAAAAAATCTACACACACACTCATAAAATGAAAAAGAGTCTTATTGCAGTGATGCCATAGAAAAACAATTTTGGGTTCCCCAAAGAACCTTTCAGTGAACAGTTCTCAAAGAACAATTTTTTTTTCTTAGTATGAAGAACATTGTATAATCTAAAGAACCTTTTTTCTAGTATTTATAAAAAAAAATAAAAAACAACTTTTGTGAAAAGTTACTATAGATATTAAATGTTCCTCATTGAACCATTGACACCAATAAAGAGCCTTTATTTTTAAGAGTGAACTATATCTGAAATGTCAGTTAGTGAAGTTATTAAGCGTAATTTCGGGAGGAGTACGCCTATCTAATCTTCCAATTAATACCAAGGTATAAAACCAGCATCTTACCTCTTCCCATTGTTAGTTCTTTCGGCATCCCTCCTCCTCCCCTTCTCCTCCTTTTTTGTACAATTTTGCCTGTTATAGGGGGGCAATCGGAGCTCGAGCAGAACATCATCTCTGAGCCCCTCTATAGCAGACAGCAAGCCAAATCTGTTTACCACTTAGACTAAGATTATATAGGCACACAAACTCGTGAATTTGTATATATTAAAAGATTTTATTTATTTAATTTTATGAAAGAAATATCACAGGAGAAAGTATCTTTACTGAACTGAATATCAGTATGGCTGTGATTCGGCTGTGGCCTTGAGGTGCAGGTAATCAGCTGTGATGATATTCTTAATTGTATTTTTTTTTTTCCCTGAATGGTGACTCAAACATTTGCCACTCTTCATGACAAGAAGTTAGCCTACCCTTATGATCCCATTAACTGCGGTAATTGTGTTGAACTAGAGTTCTTGTTACCTGAATGCTGTTTAGAGTTCTCTGTTGTTAATATGTGACACCAATCAAAGCGTGCCAGGCCAGTGTATCCAATCCACAAATGACACAGTGTTGACAGTGCTTGACACTCTCACAGCATTAGTTGAGGGTGTTTTACAAAAGTGAAAATCACGTTACTGCAGAGCTCAAACACCAAGTACACAGCTGAAATGTTCATGCTATCAAGATTAATGTAACAATGTTTTGATATTCGTAATGTTTAATCATTTTTTTTTTATATATCATTAAGCATCTATTTGAATCAGCATGAATCAAAATGGTCTATGTTTATTTTCTTAATTTACATTCCTGCCCCTTGGTCTCATTGGTGCATATTATTGCAAAGAAAACAATATCTGTCTTCTTAATATTTCATCAAAACATAATAACTTGCTTTGTTTCTCAAATGACTTTACGTTTTCAACTGACAGTACCAAGGAGGTCTATAATACTTGGAGATAGCTATCCGTTGGCATTCCCATTCATCTCAATTCCAGTTATTTGGCTGTCTGCAGTCTTTTCTCATGGGCATTCAGTTCTGGTGACTTTTTTAGCCAATCACCTGAGCCATAAATGTCACGTGACTAACTATTCTAGAGCCACAGAAAAATTATGTCCTGGGTTGTGTTTCCCAGGAGCAATATTAGCTAGCTATGGTTGTAGCAAGTTCCACTAGCATATAGTTCTACCTTTCATCTTTCATTCCATTTAAATATTTATACATAATATCATATATATACATGTACATCATCTTATATCTATATACTTTAGCATGTCAACAATTGAGGGAACCTTGGAGGGAAATACATAAAAACATAAGAGGGAATCCATAATGAATCAAACATAAAATAAAGCAAAACGACAGGGTTTAAAAATACTTAAGTAGTCCTCAGACGCCTTGTTCATTACAGCAACATTTTGGAGAAATGACATTGTGGAGGAAGCTGCTGACTGAATGAATCGCATATATAGCCTATGGGGGTATGCCAATTACATACCGCTTGTAAACAAGATTATGAATCGCAATGAACGACCTTCTGTTGTTTTGTGTAAATGTATGCTGCATTCCCTTCTCATGCCCTAAACCCTTCGAAGGGTTAACCCTCAAGAGAGAGAGCTTCGAAGGGATGAAGGGTGTAGGTAGGGGACCAAAGAGCTGTTCCTTGGGACAGACATCTGTGTCTTTTTTAATCACCAATTAAAAAAGGCGCCAGGAATAAAAGCCCCCTTTGTCTTGCTGACAAAAATAATCAAATAAAATATTTTGTCAGAATGCAAAGCTACTTTCAAATTAACATCAATGGAGATATATGTTATTTGCCCACAATAGTATAGTTGTGGCATTATGCTAAACTAGACAAACCTCAACATTACCAATCCTTTTTATTTTTCCCAGACCACTTGGTTCCATTTTGGTATGTATTCACAATCCAAATAACAATAAGGAAAAACTGGGATTCAATCAATTCCCAAAGGACCAAATCATGTCCCACCCTACATTTTTTCTCATTAAATATTCTGTTTCACTCAGAAAAATAACCACATTATGGAATAAAAATGGGTAGCAAATACAGTTTTATGCTGACTATAAACAAAAAGGGTCTTTCTGATTCTTTGTTGGTCACTAGTCCCAGCTACCCATTAAAAGTGACCTTTTGCCACCACGTTATCCGTTTCTGTGTGTCTACAAGTCAGTGTTGTAATGTAATCAGGCATAAATAAGCACAAGGAAGTCATGGCTCGGGGGAGGGCGGGGGGGGGTATATACATGTACATCATCTTATATCTATATACTTTAGCATGTCAACAATTGAGGGAACCTTGGAGGGAAATACATAAAAACATAAGAGGGAATCCATAATGAATCAAACATAAAATAAAGCAAAACGACAGGGTTTAAAAATACTTAAGTAGTCCTCAGACGCCTTGTTCATTACAGCAACATTTTGGAGAAATGACATTGTGGAGGAAGCTGCTGACTGAATGAATCGCATATATAGCCTATGGGGGTATGCCAATTACATACCGCTTGTAAACAAGATTATGAATCGCAATGAACGACCTTCTGTTGTTTTGTGTAAATGTATGCTGCATTCCCTTCTCATGCCCTAAACCCTTCGAAGGGTTAACCCTCAAGAGAGAGAGCTTCGAAGGGATGAAGGGTGTAGGTAGGGGACCAAAGAGCTGTTCCTTGGGACAGACATCTGTGTCTTTTTTAATCACCAATTAAAAAAGGCGCCAGGAATAAAAGCCCCCTTTGTCTTGCTGACAAAAATAATCAAATAAAATATTTTGTCAGAATGCAAAGCTACTTTCAAATTAACATCAATGGAGATATATGTTATTTGCCCACAATAGTATAGTTGTGGCATTATGCTAAACTAGACAAACCTCAACATTACCAATCCTTTTTATTTTTCCCAGACCACTTGGTTCCATTTTGGTATGTATTCACAATCCAAATAACAATAAGGAAAAACTGGGATTCAATCAATTCCCAAAGGACCAAATCATGTCCCACCCTACATTGTAATTAAAGCAGCGGTACCCTGACACATATTAACCAGGGAATATGTGCATGATTTACACACACACATTTCCAACCCATGTGTCTGTGTATCACTTACCATTCCATTGCCCCCTCCAAAAATAATTAAGCATCTTCAGAGAGGAATTGGGTTACCTGCACATTACAGTGAGAGATGTAAGGCTAGCTTACACTGGGGACACTGGGGGGAATGAACACTGGGTGAGAGATGATAATTATGGGAAGAGAGAGAGAGATGAGAAAGACGGCTCATCTCTGATGCACAGACCCACCTGGACATCAGCACCATCCAGTTACCATGGTAAAATGCTTTATAGTTTGTCTGTTTATGGACCTTGGTCAGGG